ATATATAATTCTAAACGAATTAAACTTTTTAGGAAGTATTTTTTAAATATACATTTAATTGACAAATTTAAAAGTTAAATTTTTGTGAAAATATATGTCTATTAAGTAAATTTTTTGTTCTTTTGTGATGTCATTTATTAGTAACTATATACATGTGATATGCATTAAATGTGTATGTTCTTTATTTCCTAATTAGCTAATTCGGAAATATGATGATTACCTTATTTTGCTATTAATTACTTACACAAATTTATTTGATAATAGTGATTTGAGTTAGAAAAACCCAAAACTATTATCCATTTAGAAAACCACAAATATAATGGTGATTTGAGATTTAGAAAAGCCAAAACTATTATCTTAATTATGTTTATATATATATATATATATATATATATATATATATATATATATATATATATATATATATGGATCTTAAAAATGTAATTTACTATATATATACATTTGTTTGTTTTTTCTATTAACAGATAAATAACACAGATGAAAGACCGTTTGTAGTTGATTACAAACCATTTTTCAGTTTGTTTCAATAGCGATATACGAATTCAATATTATTTTCGTCTCGATAAAATTTAGAAATCTATTAAATTATTTTATATTGTACAATTGCTAAAAACATTGACAATTTTTTGCAGGTTTCTATAGGATTTTTTTTATTCATAATTGTTCTTCTTATTTTATATTACTTATGAATTATATTTAAACTTTTATCACATTTTCTATGGGATTGTGATATCTATGAGATTTTTATCACATTTTTAATATGTCACTGTCTCTTGTATATTTTTCTTACATTTGTTTTTTTTAATAGTTAACTTTTATTAAAAACATACTAATGATGTTAATTTTTTTTACTTTAGTTAACTTTCATTTGTTTTATTCTTATATACTTTTTGTGACTTTTTTAGTTTTTGTTTCAGTTTAATATTGAATTTAGTTCACATACTTTATGTGTATATATTTTAAAACATAATTTTTCTTTTAAAAAATTAAGCGACAAAGAGCCTAATTAAACCGATCCAAAAATAAACCGAACTGAATATAATTTGAGCTAGACATAAACCACACCGAACCAGACTAAATAAGGTTTATTTCAGTTGAAAAAAATATATTAAAACCGAACTAAACAAACCAAACTGAAAAAGTAACAATTTGCCCATTCCTACTGCATCCTAGAGATTAGCGCAAATCTTGTCTCAGCATTGAAACTCTCACTTTTCCACAAACTCCCACATTTGAACTCAATAAATACTCCTATCTTAGTATTATACTATATTTTTATACCTGCACAAGGTACTGGTGGATCACCTAGTTCGTGATTAAACAGTAGACTAGATTTTGACCCGCCCTTAAAGAGGGCGGATCAACCGTTTTTGATTTAAATTTATGCCCTTGTTCGATTATTCACAAGTATACATAGGCATGAATATCCGGGTTCAGATCGATTGTCGTTAATAATTTAGTTTGGTCCGACATATATAGATTAAATAAAATTACGTACAATTTAATGTGTGGTGTCGGATTTTTTTTTTTTTTATTCGTTTTAGTTAAATAACAAATTATAGGGACCCGATAAAATTATGAGTTCTATTCGGTAATCTAAAGTATTGATTTGTAAAAACTGAAATAAAATAATTAATTTTTAATAATTTCATATTGGTTAAAATTGATTTTTTTTAAATAAAAATTATTTTTAGATATATTTTACCAATTCGTTTTTGAATCATTCCTAGACAGAGACCCGTTTCTTGTTGATAAAATTATTAACTCGTTTGTTAGATGACAATAGAAATAAAAAATGTATTTGTGAGATCCATTTGTACTCAAGAAATATTTAACATATTTAATGAAACAATCTGTAAATATTAATT